GTTTCTATATATGCTGATGTTGTTTATGAATACATCGTATCAATTAATATTTTTCAAAAGTGTCATTTTGAATTGAAATTATCGTCTGACTACGCGTCACTGCACTTCTCGACGCGGAATAGCATTAGTCGAAATTTTTTTATGTCCATGCAACAAGAGTGAAAAAGACGTAAGTAAACGTACAAAGTGTGTTTCGCATCGGCGCTCAGAGGAATTAATAAAAAAAATACACGAGTACCAAAAATCTGTCCAATATTATTTTATCTAATTTGTCATATGGAAATGTATAAATAAACAATATAAAGTATTTTTCAAGGTCTATTGCCACTAGTGCAGTTGTCCAGTTCGATTGACTGAACTAATGAGATTTTTTCTCGTTTGTTCAGTTGACTCAACTAGCGCGATTTTTTCCCATTTGTTCAGTTGACTGAACTGATGAAAGTTTGGTCCTCATTTCTTCATTTACGCGCGATACCCTACCATATTCGTAATATCATCGTAGTGCCACTGGTAGCGCGACGAGTAATTTGCTGTTTGCTTGTTGGCCCACCAACATGGGGTCTAAATTCTGGAATCTGGAGTGTTTACGAGCATACCCCAATGTATACTCATTATTATTAATTTAGTCTAACGCTGGTTTTTGTAAAAAAAGTTGAGACCGGGGCCAGCAAAAAAAGCTTGTTTTATTTTCAACTGTGCAAACAAGATAGAAATTCTTTATAGTTCAATTCAAACTAACTGGTTCAACCTAACTGGACTGGACAACAGAACTAGTGCAGAGAGAGGATGGACAACTGGACTAGTGGGAATAGAGGAAATAAAAGATCTCTACTAAACCAGGGGCAAAAGCTTGTTTTATTTTCAACTGAACAAACAAGAAAAAATCTCTACTAGTGGGAATAGAGGTTTTTCAGAACCCGTTAAAAAAGTACATTATCATGATACAAAATTAGTCATCAGAATCGTAGTTTCATCTCTCTCACTTTTAAAATATTTTGTTTTTTCATCAAAATTCTTACCGGGCATTCTTGAATATGTTATATAATGACATTTTAGTCTAACGTTCTAGAAGACCCTGAAAAGAAAACAAGCGAAGACTTTTTCGTTTTTATTGCATGAACATGAAGCCTTCTCTTACCTGCTTAAGCCGTTTTCGCGTGTACACGTAAGTTATTGTAAATCACAAAATAGCATTTTTATATAACTTAAATATGACGACTTCCTAGTTTTGCACCGTTTATAGCAATTTACTTATTTAAGTAGATCGCTATAAACGGTGTATTTATTTTTATTTTTGTATGAAAGTAAAATTTCATGAATCATAAAAGGCATGGACAACGGTTGTTGTTTATGATGTTAGTAATACAGTTTTGGGAGGTTCTTGGTATTTACAAATAACTCTATATATATTATAATAGGTTCCATTCAACGTAATTGAAACATTAAAAAATCTACGGTTTTAAACCGTACAAAATGTTTTCTTCACTTTTAAACATGAAACCTATATGTATATAAAGAAGGAAGTGAGATAACTTTCTTTTTAAAAGTAAAGTGCTTTTTTGTGGCTTACAAGAATTTACGTGTGAGGTATCGAAGTGTGGTGACTCCCTTAAGGCGGCTTCTCACGGCCCGTCGACCTGCTCCTGTTTCTTTTGGTTTTTTGTAGTACGTTGTAGCCACTGCATAATATGAAAGTGGCTGCAGAAAAGCCTATGCGTACTTCGTATGACATGTCGAACGGTAGCTCGAATCAGACTAAGCTCTAAATACACGCCTTCATACGCGCAACAACGCGCGTCGGCCCAAGGCTGCCCGGACTCGCCCGTGCTACGAGCTCGCGCCTTTGAAGTTACCGACACAGAGGGGATCCAAAATCAGGCAACCATATGCCACCACGCGCGTTCGGGCGGCCCTATTCCCACGGCGCGTTGGCGCGAGCGTGGAAATAGGGAAATAAATATTATCTAATAAAATTAAGAACTCAAGAGTATGGTCCAATTTGTATAGTTCAATTCTGAAACTGTTCCATGACGTATCGCGCAGTATCCTGCGTTGAACACATTTTATCGAGGTAATTGTCTTGTACCCTGAGTTTAAAAAAAAAAGTGTGTTAAACAGGACTACTGAAATATCCCGAAAATACTTGGATATTGTCGGTAACAGAAGGACTAAACTACGTAAATTCACATAAGTATTGCTCATAGTAATATTAGATGTTGCATAGTACTAAAGTAATACTATGATAATGGGGATCCTTTTTAAAATGCCTCATATTATAGATGATATTTTACGAAAATTCTCGACAGCGCTATGTTGTGTTCAATAAATCAGTCTTCGCTTAATCTATTACAAATACTTCTTTTATGTTCAGGTGTTACATTTGATGATGTTTTTTAATTCATGATGATCTCGCGTCTGTGCTCATTGCATAGATTTAGTTTGGTACATAATACTAAATCTATGGCTCATTGAGAAAACTAGTGAACAGCGAATTTAGTAACTCTGTTTATTACGGACACGTCAGACTGCAGCGGAGCACTGTGTGCTACGTTATTGGCACATCTGATAAAGTAATATTATTGTACACAAATAATATGCTGCGCAGTGTCCACTGTATCCTTGTCACATTAGTCATTATTTAGGTTTAAGAGTGTATGACAGGTGGATAATAAATTGTAATGCGAATTAGTCGTAGATAATTAAAGACCACGGTCTTTCTTGCCAACACTGTAATCGAAAACTTTATTTTAATAAAATTATTTGTTGTCATCTCAATTTGCGTTATTTTATGTACCTATTTTATGTTTACGCTGCTCAGTTTCCCTTGAGAAATATTATGACCAAAAAGTTTTTTATTTTAATTTGTTTTTTATGGTACTGAGTGATGGGATGAACAAGTCGATGTTTAGCGACACGCCTCTCTATAGCAGTTGCAGTGTCACTCAGAGCTTTAAATCGCAAAGATCAGAGAGGTACTGCCACAGAGCCCGTCATCCTGAGACATAAGTTGAAAAGTCCCATGTGCCTGTAATTTCGACAACATGATTACCCTTCAAAACCGGAACGCAGTAATGCTCACATTACGACGTGGCGACAGAAATAGGTAAGGTGGCAGTACTTCCCTAGACGAACTCTTTCACAAGGAACTCTATTGCGTACGTGTCCGAAAATTCTACGTCATGCGGGCACCGGGCGAGAGGCCAGTTTATATCTGTTCTGCTAAAGTAAATTGAAAAGAAAAAAACATGTCATTAGTTAAGTTTAGTGATAATAGGTATGTTTTTGAAAATGTCGCGACGCTGTGATTTTAACTTACTAAGGTGCATGAGGTAGCGTGTCGTTTCAACGCACCATGTGACAGTTGTTCTGATTCACCTGTATAACACAGCGTCACACTGTAACGATGTCGCAAAGCATCGTGTGGCATCTCTCTAATTTGTTTTGTTTTGCTTTTTTGTTTTGCGTTTGCTAAAAACATCCTTAGTCTGATCCAGGTATGTTCGCTACGTGTATAGCGTTGGATACAAGCAAGCGGTAACTAATAAATAAATAAATAACGCACACACTCAACATAGCCCCGCACTAGGGAAACCCTGTGTCGCGGGTGCCATGGACACACACATAGACAACCACAAATTACACCCAAACTCACTAGAGAAATAATTGTAGGCCATACAACTATTTCTCTCGGCCCGGGAATCGAACCTGGGACTTCTGCGTGGCAGTCCGGCATGGTAACCGTTCGGCCACGGAGGCAGTTAATTAATAGCAGCGAATATTCTTTTTTCATACACCTGATATGAAATCGACACTGTCGCCGGTTGCGGCAGTCGGACACTCACCGTTTGCAGCAACCGCAATTTGTATGAACATAGAATATTCGCTTCTAGTTGCCGGTTGCTTCTATCCAACATATTATGTATCCATTATACTGTATTTAACAGTGTTGCCAGACTTTTACGAAGTTAATTCGCCAATTTATGTGTGTTAAGTAGCCGATACTCGCCTAAGCCATAAAATCCCAAAAAATCAAGGAAAACAATTCTTACAATTCTGCTTTTATTCAAGCCCAATCAAATTTGTAATTCCCCACATATTTCATTAAGTAGCCTAAAATCGCCTTTTGCCGACCACACTGCGATCCGGGTGCACTAATGCGAGCGTTGCCAGGCGTTGTAGTTGAAAAACAGGCCGCGACGCGACGCTTCGACTTTGCGCCAGTGTGGGTTGAGCCTTAGACTACGGAAACCTTCATTTTTTCCATCCTGTAAGCGAAATGCCACTGAGTTACAGTCATAAACTATGGAAACCTTTATTTTTGTCCAACCTCTAAGCCTTACAGGATGGAAGTTTCCATTGTCTAAGCTCTAAGCACTGAGTCCATTACCAGCGATAAAAAAACATAAACGTGTGGCCTAGCGCCTAGCCTTCGCGAAAGTAAAGGGTTACATAAATTTATTAGAAGTAGAAAATGAAAGGAAAATAGAAGGCTGCAACAAAAATAATACAATAATATAAAAAGGTCAAACAAACAATATAAAAACACTGCCTACTAGTGCTTACTAAACTATGAAGTCCAGGCCAGCATCGTCACTACGTCATTTAGCATGCTGTTAACATATTTAAAAAAAATTAAATATGTTAGGTAACTGCATTGACCTTTTAAACTGCATTGACCTACGGTAACTGGTATGAAAAGATTAGGGTCGTATTCCAGAACTCTACTCAATACTCAAGTTAGGACTTGAGTATTGCAGTGAGCACTGAAAATCATACTCAAGTCCTTGCCATTAGGGTCGTATTTCCAGTGCTTGAAATCATACTCAAGTCTGCTCAAATCCTGACTTGAGCATTGAGTAGAGTTCTAGAATACGACCCTTAGAATATTTCTATGGCGAACAATAAGTGTAATAAATTAAAAACAAATGTACACAATCTGAAATATTTTTTATTTAATATTAAACAACACTTTGGTTTAATAGTATATAATATGTTAATAGTTAATAATTTACATCATTCTAAAATAGTAAGTTAAAACAACCTAATTCACAATGGACTACGTTATGTAGCGTATACATTATCGTGTAGAAAAACATTCCATATTACTCAATTCAAATTATTAATGCAGTAGGCAATTCAAAAGCCGAATGACATAACACAGAACATTACACCGAACGATTACCTACCTACTTACTGCATTGTTAACGCAAATGTATTATAGTAGGTATGTGCGCGTTGCCGATGCGTGCAGTTATAAAATGGGCTTGACCCTTGTTTGACCTAACATATGTAACTATAATATTCGCTCCGTGCTGTTACTTATTTACAATTTATAATTATACGTATTATATTTTTATACATCGATATATTTTGGTTATTGCTCATACTCTCACTTACAATCTATATGACTATCTTTAATTCTAAGTTATTTGCCATCATTTATTTATGATTATTGCCATTAACATTTTCTGCCCCCGTCATAGATGGTAGATTAATATAACCATTGATGGTTATCAAATACCTGTGATAAATTGAATTCATACGTATTTTTGCTTGAATAAAACCGGTATGGGGTTTGTGAATCTTCATTTGGTTTATATGACAGGATTTAAGGCCACTGGAATTGAAACCCTACAGGCTATAGTCACAGGGCATTAATCCTACGCTGGCAGTTTATAGTTGTGCTCGTTACAGCTTTCATACAAAAGTAAACAAATGTTATAATACAAAATAATAAAAAGTCTCGATCAAGTGCAAGTAGGACTCGCGCATGTCGTGTCAGCAACCAGTCTTAAACGTTTTCATCATCTATGTAATTGGTTGTTGAAATTATTATTGTTGTACGTTGACACGCGCCTAGTTTTAATATTCTTTCGATCTTTCGAATTTGCAATACAGCAGAGCTGGCGATTTCCATTGAATATTATATTATTAAAGTTATTATTATTGCGGCCGGCTCTAAGTGCTAGCAATTTAGCAAGTAGGTACGCCATCACCCTTACTTTCATTTACATTCGCATTAACGTTCCTTTATAATGTAGTTGTGTTTAGTTTACGTAGTGCACATAACAATAGTTTCTCTGATTTTAAACTCATATGCTAGTGGTAATTTCTTCGACGTAGGAGGATGGAAAAATTCCGAAATTGCCATTGAGATCTCCCGACCACCACCCGTCGTCTTGCTTCTCGTGTACGTTGATTATGTCCCCTGAAACGTAAATTACTTCGGTGTAGCGAAGTACTTATGGTATTGACATTCAGCAAATATACAATATCACACCAATTTACTGGTAGATCATGTATCAAAATCCAACAATTCAGAAACTTAAGATTCTCTCGATTTACATTCGAAACGAATATTCGTCGCAGTAGCATAATTAACTTTATATTGAGCCAAAAATACAAGTCGCGCGTCTTCCGGAAATTCCCGCAGCTACCGTATCGTACCTATCTAGTTTAGGCTTTATACAGATACACGTTAATTTTGCTATGGAGATTTCCGATACGAAAATTCGCTTCTATATTTATGCCGTCTGTGGCAATGTAATCTGAGATTCAGGCTTCATAAGCTTTCCTTTACGCGTATTATATCTATATAATGTTAGATTATGTATCTTTGTACGTGCTTCAAGTTAATTTTTTGATCATATCAGTGCTAAGTGTGGGTACGAAGATATAACCAATAATCTCAGTACAGAGTACTAAAAAAACGACCTCAAAAGTACGTCGAATTACGTCTATTTGCTAAGTTTTATTGAAATATCCCCTAGTTCGCCACTATACAGGACTTGACACTGGAGATAATAAAAAGTATATTGAGAGAAAAACGCCTTGAATTGGAGAAATAGCAAAATCAAACATTAAAATAATTGTTCCTAAATTAAAGTTTAAGCGCTACTTATAAAAATGAATCTTCATGCGTGAACAGCCCCCTTAGAGGTGGATGATTTTCTTCAAAATGAAATGGAACCACTATGGAAGTACCCCCTTTCGAACAAAAATAGAATCATGAAAATCGGTGCACAAATACAGGAGTTATCGCGTAACATACATACAAAAAAGAACATACAGTCAAATTGAGAACCTCCTCCTTTTTTAAGTCGGTTAAAAACATATACATACCACTTAAATCGTAAATTACATAAAATACATAAATGAAATTAATAATTATTATCTATAAGTATTGTCCAACAGGAAAACTATAAGGCTAAACTTCGCTATGCATTGTTAAGTATGTTAAGTATTGCTGATAGAATAAAGTTATTGATTTTAGCAAATCACGAACGAAAAAAAAGTTTGACCGTAATGTTTCCTTGTGAATTGTGAATATCTGTTACATAACAAGGAACCATAGAGAAAGTATGATGTGTGATACAAAATATTAAAACGAAACATGCAAATTCGCAGAAAGCAAATAACGCCGAATGGTACCTATAGGATAGGTATCATTGTATTAATTACCTGGTGCTAAAGTAAGTTCGTCGTTCAGTCTCGCCTCGTACGCGTAGAGTGCGCGGCACTTCCCAATAGATTGAGTTTGGGCAGGAGTGTGTCCGTTTTCTTTCTTTATCATGTCGACCAAGTCCGTGGAGCTGTCGCTTTGGGACGAAAATTCATCTGAAACATAAAATATGTCTGTGAGAATCGGATAATAAAATCTATGAAACACTACAATCTTTTCACAATTATTGTAAGTAGATAAGCACACAGCTACTGTACTGCCGTGCACTAACTAAAACGGGGCTAAGTGCAAATGGTCAAATAACCGTTTTAAATAGCAAAAAATGGAGCACAAAATTCATTTTTTAGAAACGGTAAAATAGTTAACGCGTACGACTTATCAGAACTTACCCTAACGATACATAGCTGAAATAACATTAAACAATTTCAATATTCTGGAAACGGGATTATGGTTTTTATGATATCTAAAATAAATATTTTATCACTTAACGGCGTTTTAGTCAGCAGACGGCAGTGTAGATGTTATTATTATTATTATTTTTATTATCCTTTTTAGATTCACGCCGCTTCAAATCCGCAACATATATATTTATAGTTTTTAAACGGGAGAGGTGGTAGAACTTTGGCAATGGGACAGCCTGGCGGCCCTGCC